CTGACGAGGTCCAGTTGTGGTAACGGCAAGAAATGTATACGACTTAATGGACCGAAACATTTCTTATCTGTAACAAATATTTTTTATACCCCTTACTTAATATCCTTTTCTTCTTTTCATTGTTTCCTTCTTCTCCTGATATTCTCTTCTTAACTTTTAATATGTATGCATGTGTGTATATGTATGTATTGAAAATTACCACTTCGTGCTCCCAAAGCTGAATAAGGTAGCATCTTATCGTTTGAAAATTCTTAGTTATATTTCATTTGTCTTGCGAACCCTATTTTATTGCATTGCAGTGGCGTGTCAGAATGTGGGGTGAAAGTCAGTTCGCGGATGTGCAAGTGAACGATCGACCAGTGCAGTCGCTCTCTTATGATTCGCATGGATATATCTATGTATCAAATTTGATCAACGGCTGGAACAGGGTGAAAATTCGGTTCCATCCATTCGTGAAGAAAAGGAAACTGTTACTTATGGCACAAGTATGCAAATTTTTCCTTGTTTTTAGGCCCACAAAATTTAGAAGTCAAGTCCTGCCGAGGGGGTACTGAGCTCCGATCGGGGGGCAGCTGAAAATCGAAGTCTCCTATCCCTTCATCGAGGCAGTATTGTTGTTACTGTGTAAACGAATTACTTCATTTTCGCAATATTTGGTAGATAAATTTTCTAGTGAAGTAGAAATTTGCATTTCAGCGTCTTTGATCTAAGGATCAGAGATCACATTCAGGCAGTGAGTAAGACTGTTTAAAAATTACATATTCTAATGGATCGGATAAATTTGCAGCCGATGTTTCATCCCTTAGCTGTAAACACAGAACACTGTACGTCGTGGCATATGATGCCACAATGAAATAAATCTGTTGCAGGTTTTGCTCATACAGCTACACAAGCCAGCACTGCACGTAGCACCACCAGCACTGGAACTGGCGCCAGAAAGTGGCACCGATTGGAGACATGACTGAAAAAAATGTTTCCTTGGAAATTTGCATATAATTTTTCTTCGTATGTGTATCGTCTCTATTGTTATAGTTCAGAATTTACCAAAATCTTTCGGATTTAGAGAATAGTGCCTTTGCCACTTAATTGGTGAATATTTTTGGAGATATTTGAAATTATGTGAAATAAATTTGTTGAGATACAAGAAAGTTACCTGGTAATGTTTCGTGATTTTTAGGTAATTTTGCATGCATGTCCCTTTGCTCTCCCTTCTAAATATGCTAGCTTTTATTTGAAAATTACGAAGAGAATTCAGGAAGCATTGCCGTCAGAGGGTAACAAAAATTTATTCAGTGGTAGGGAAATTTTCTAATAGAATTGAATATGCGTTATTCTTTCAAGTTAAAACACAAAAGTTAGCTAAAAAAGCGGCCCTAAAATTATCGGGATAAATTAGGAAAGCGAAAATCTTGTGGAGAAGAATGTCGTTTTTTCGTTTTTTTTAGAGAGAACTGCGCCTTTCTGCAGATTTGGGTGAGCCAAACATGTCTTAGTGCAGGTATTATCTTAACTGTCGTGGCTAGCTTCAGTGGCAGCTTCTTCATTTTTTGTGTTTGTTGTAATGTAGTATTTTATAATAATTTCTATTTCTCGATGTAAAGTAGGTGATAGATTTTCACTTTTGTTCCTCAAAAAATTAAATTTGGCATAAAAATTAAATTTAGCATGAAAGCAAGGATCGCAAGGCACTGGCTGTCTCACTAACAAAGCTGGATCCTGCTTTCTTAAAAGTATTTATAAAGGCAGGAATTTCGGCTCTGCTGTTGAGATAGTCATTGCCTTGCAAATTCCCTTTATTGTTTCGATGGTAAATTGGTACTGGCGCATGTCAGAGATTGAAATATATCGTCAGCTTGTTTTTAAATATTCACTGGAAAAAGGAATCATCAACAGTTTTACCGGCGAGTGGTTGCTGTTGTCATTCGGGCTACTTCCGAGCGCTTTCACCTCACAGATTATGAATACGGGAGGGTTTTTGACTTTGAAAGGTTTACACAAGTTGGAATGAAGCTGA